CTCTCTCTCTCTCTCTCTCTCTCTCTCTCTCTCTCTCTCTCTCTCTCTCTCTCTCTCTCTACTACTCTACTATCTACTCTCCTCCTCTCTCTCTCTCTCTCCTCCTCCCTCCTCTCTCTCTCTCTCCCTCGCCCTCTCTCTCCCTATATCTTTCTCACTCTCTCGCTCACTCTATCTCTATATCTCCATCCCCATCTCTCTCTCTCGCTCTCTCTCCTCTGGCTCTCTCTCTCGCTCTCTCTGGCGGTTGCCGCGGTAACGTACATGCCTGCTACTCGCTAGATCATACGCTAGCACGCGTCCAATGCCTATCGTGTTGTCATGCAGTCAACTAAACAGGATCTCTTGGTTCCTTCTCTTCTTGTAAAGAATAGGGCTGGAAATAAAATTTCTCCATGGCGTTCTATCTTTGGCAGCTCCTTCTGCCTCGATGTTTTAAACCCTAATGTAAACCCTAATCTTCTCCTATCCTTCGCCATGCTTCCCTTGGTCTTCCCCTTTTTCTCTTGCCCTCCGGGGCCCATGTCATGTCAAACAGGACCGGAGCAACCGTAATATCGTCTGAAATCCCCCCCCCCACTCCTAGTTAGCGCGTACGCCCCGCACACAGAAATGCTCACATATATATTATATATATATATTATATATATATATATATATGTGTGTCAGTGTGCGCGCAATGGCGGCGGCGTGTGTTTACAGTTGAAACGCTTCAAGTGCCTGTGGAAATGCTAGTAGTGCGCACTACGCATCGCATCCGATATCTGCGGCTCATTCAAAACGCCGGTCCTTTTAGAATTACCAACTAGAAAGACACTCGAGGAGTGCGAATCCTCCGCATACGCGATCACTACACCTGTGATATTTTGTAGGCTGTGGTTGCTACTTGTAATGGTTGACGTTGACCTTGGTTTGTTTTTTTGTACTGAACCGATCGACTATCTGCCTGGGCTTTTTGTTTTTGGATGCTTACGTGCATGTATGTATGATATTCATTGTCGGATGCCATTTATTTATGGATGTTTTTTTGCTCCCTGGATTTGTAAATTCTAATAGAACAGAAATGCACATTCAGACATACATGTAACTTGCAAAGCAGATATATTGATTCATGTTTAATGCACATTTAACTACATGTATATGAACAAGAAGGAATGTTATACCTCTAAATACATTGTGCAAACAATTAAAACAATTAAAATGGGGAAATTGTGTACGTGTATATTTGTATGAAATCTGCAAATGTGCAATGTGCATGCTGAATGCATAACTACGAACTGGCTTCTTCTACAGCGCAGTGAACACACTCTGCCACACACAACACGCCTGGAAATACCGCCTGGAACCCCCGCCCCGCGTTAGCAATGGTACGGTCATTCCGCTATGACCCAGCATTGGAAATATACTTAATGACAATATACTTAATTATTATATGATAATAAGGTCAAGGTCACTCAGAATCAATAGGGTTCCAGCGCACCATAAGACGCACATGTGGACCAAG